AGTGGCCCGGCAGTGGCCGCCAGCAGTCCCTTTTGGGCTGAAAACCAGGCTCCGGGAACTCTGGGAGGGATACTGTTCTCACCGTACAGCCCGGAAAAAAGCACACGCTTGGTACACGTTTCGGCGCACAGGGATGGCCAGGGAGTGGCCCCGCAATGGCCCGGCAGCGGGCAAAATCGGAAGCTTGGAGCAAAGTCATTGACGCAGCCCGACAGCAGCAGCAAACTGCAGCGCAGCGAACTGCAGCGCAGCAAACTGCAGCGCAGCGAGCTGCAGCGACAGCCGCAGACTGCGCCGCGCAAAAGCGCGAACGTAGAACATCGCACCTCTCTCTTTGGAGGGGTTCCCCAAACGGAATCTATTGCGCCTGAGAGGGTTTCTGACACTCGTCCGTCCAGGAAATGCGAAGGATTCGAAATCTAAAATGCTGCGCGCAGGCGTGTGGCTGCGTTAAAACGACCCCTAGATATGCGGTTTGGCGAAATGCCCCGCAGCTGCCTTTGCTTCAGGCAAGCCCCCTCAAAGGAAACCTTTTTTTGGCTTGGTCGTCGGTGGCTCTATGCAACTTGGCTCTATGTAACTTGGCTCTATGTAACTTGGCTCTATGTAACCTGGCTCTATGTAACTTGGCTCTATGTAACTTGGCTCTGTGCAACTTGGCTCTGTGTAACTTGTCCAAGGGCTCCGCACGGAAGAACCCTTCGCGATGCTTTCGGGAAATACAACGACAGGTGAATCCCTCATCGGGATCTACAACAGGATTGTCAGAGCAAGGACAATCCAGATAATGCCTCACAAAGATGTGTAAACACAGGCCCATGGAAGACACCAGCATTAGCGCTGCCTACACCGCCTCCCTCACCTCAACACTACTGACAAGGCACCTCGTCGGTCGGTCGTCCGATCGTTCGGTCGTTCGGCCGTCGGTCGTCGGTCGGTCGTCGTCGGTCGTTGGTCGTCGGTCGTCGGTCGGGGAATCCTTTTTTTCTCCATTTTAGATTTCGAATCCTTCACAGGACGAGGTCGTTTCCTGGACGGACGAGTGTCAGCACCCTCCCAGGTGCAATAGAATTGAATCCGTTTGGGGAATCCCCTCTAAAACAAGCCTCAAAGATACGGGTCCTTTTGGCTTGGCTTCAGCTGACCGTCTTGCGTTCTTTTACCCGCAACTCGTCGCAGGTATCCTTGCTTCTCAGCTTCTCCTAAATTGGTCAGAACTCAGATCACAGACGGCCGTGGCAGCTACATGTGTGCAGCAGCTGGCTTTGCCTCCTTCTCTTCTCAAGCTCCTTGCAACACTCCAACGTGAGCGCGTTCTTTGGGAGATGCCAATTTCCACATGTCTGAGAATGCCAGGTGGGCGACTTGATTTGCGGGCTCTCGCCGCACGAAAACCGTCCCATTCTACGGCGTGTGATCAGGAAGTCCCTCAGCAGCATGGCTTGTCGTCGGCGATCACTTGCTTTGCGGGATCAAGCAAACAGAACTCGTGCTGCTTGACCCTGATGGGATTGATGTCACCCGTTCGCATTTTATCCGGCAAGTTCTTGAGCGGTAATACCAAAATCTCATGTGTGTAGGTAAAACCAGGTTGCGCGTGACAGCCCAAAAATGCAAACGTCCGAAGTAGGCAAAAACTTGGACTGCTTCGAATCGACGCGCTGACGATTGATCCAATACGACAACTTTGCACCAAATGGAATCTTTGAGTCGGGAAACTCACCCCCGAAACGCAAAGCCCACGGCGACTTGTCCTTGTCCTCTAACATTGAGAGCGCATGCATGATGTTGAGCTGCCAATGGCCAAAGTTCAACCGGCAAACCGCTCTGAAACAGATTCACCCCAGAAGATTGGCTAACATATGGTTGGCTGAACATGTCTCCAACCCATACTCTTCACTGCAGCTGCAATCTCGCCAGAATTGTCAGAATAGAAAATCCTGACGCGGTCGTAACTTCGTTCGAGGCCAAGCTCATTGAGGCCCTGAGGATGGTCGAGCAAGGGCATCAGCGGGACAGTTTGTTCCAGATGTCCCTTTGCTGCTTTTGTGTGCTCCCTGAATTTCCTCGTACTTATTGACCAGAGGCTGTTGGGAGTCGGGCCCGGGTACGGCGCAAAGGGCCATTGCTATGTTCATCAGGGTGGCAGGATTACGATGCCGACCTGCACCAGTTCTCCTGGCTCTTCTACCTTTTGCAATCCGTCGCGCAAGTGAACATCCTCCCGAGAACGAGGAGCGTCACCTTTGGCGGGCAGTTTCCGACGTTCCGGGAACCGTAGCCCAGAACCTTGAAGCGGGCTGACGATCGAGCTTGTCCTCCGCAGCTCACAGAAGCCGAAGCTTGAGGGACTGGAGCGATCACAGCTGGGGCAAGTGGGATTGGTCATTTGCAGGAGGTGGTGAAGGCAATGTGCGCCACAAAGGAGCACTTGTGAGAGACAGTAGCAGGGATATGTGTCGTCCATTTTCAATGTGCCATGGATGAATGTCGAATCAGAGCGGGTTGCAAAACCTGCTGGACATTTTCGTTGCAGTGAGGGAGGTTCCAACCCTACGCATGTGTATGCTCCGCCTGCCATAGACTTCAAGATCACTGACAGCAGTGTGAAAAGGTAGTCAACGGTTTGCTGCTGCCTAGGTTTCCTCAAAGGTGGCCTAGGCTTGACACCTATGTGCCTGAGGGTTGTTTCTGGGGCACCAATAAAAGGATTTGGGGTCTCGGCGCAAGTTGTTTGAGCCACCTTGGCCTTGCAGGAAGCGGCTCAGCAGGAGTGTTGCCTCACTTGAGGGCGCAAATCGCCCTTCTTCACTGAACTTCCGCCCTGACTCCTGGAGGCCGCCTTCGCGTTCGGATCAAGTCGGTGCGGCAAAACAGGGGCGGTTTGAATATATTTGTGCAGCCGTTTGCTCTTTTCAGTTGCTTTGCAGGTGTTCGCCTGGCTGTTGCTTAGGGGAGCTTGAACACTTTCTTCTTTGGATGAACACGACAAGTGCTCGGAAGCTAAGAAGTGCAGCGCTGTTTTTCCACAAGGGAAACACCCTCGCCCAGACGAGTTCCAACGCGGATCAGCCGAAAGCTCCCGCAGCTCCAGCGTGTTAGGCTCGGAGCCCAGCTGGATGGAGCCCGTGCCGCTCAAACCCACTCAGCGCCAAGGTTCTGCAGATGAGCTGTCCGCTTAGATCCTGACGATTCCTGACTGAAGCAAAACGTTTTTATGGGCCGTCTTACCTATGAATGTGGCGGCCACATAGGATCTTTGGTCGTCGGCTTCTTTGTTTCCTGAGGATCGAACTTGGCTTGACTCTTGCTTCGCTTTGCAGACTGGGCCAGCTTGTTGCACACTTGCAACATGCCACTAACCCTGCACCCGCTTTGTCGCTTCGGGTTTTCTTTTCCCTTGTGTTTAGAAACTTGATTTGTTTCTTTTGAAACCCACCCACCCACCCTGCACTGCCTTGCACAAGGCTCTGCAAAGGGAATTTGCAGACGCTCTGCACTTCCGTTCATGGTCTCCGGACCTCCCGGTCTCCGGACCGCCAACGGTCTCAGGACCATTAGGTCTCCGGACCGGCGTGGGAGGCGTGGGCACGCCTGCCACGCCTTGCGCGCACTGCACGCACTTGCAAGGACACGCGTTGTCTTGCCTTTTAAGTTTCACGGGGCGTCAACGCACCTCCTGCTCCAGGCGCATCCGTGTCCTGGAAGCAGTGCTACTTTCAGCAATCCCGGTTAAAAGAACTGCGGCCGCTTCGGACTTGCTTTGTTCTTTTGGGTGGTCTGGTTTGGGTTCAAGATAGGAGCAGTGCAACATGCTTTAACATATTGGTGCTTCAGCCAATCTGTGGTATGTGATTGCTGGGTTCAAGTGGGCCTCAGCCAACCTGTGATATGTGATTGTTTGGCTGTTGCTCGAAGATCTTGCTTTGGCTTACTTTTCTCTTGGTTGCTTGATTGCGCAATGCTGCTCCAGCGACCAGTGCGGTCTGTACAGCCCGCACCGTACCAGGCAAACGCTATCGCGCCGGGCATGCCCCGGAGCTGTTGTGAAAGTTGTTTTGACCCCCTCTGCCGGGTGGCGCGTCAAACTAAGCACTGAGAAAGTTGCCGAAAAAACCCAGGCTTGGTCTGAAAACCTATCTGCAACTACCCAGCGGGTGTATTCGCGGGGTGTAATAGACAATCCGTGGGAAGGATGGTGGGGGTGCTATCAGGAGAGACTTAATGTTTCGATGCTAGATCTGCTTCGGGCTTTGGGAATGTTGTGGAGCTTGGCTAAGTTTACCCGCTGGAATTGGCTCCAATAATTTCAAGAGGTGTTTCATTACGCAGGATTGGTGGGCATAATTTTAGCCATGTAAATGCCCAGCAAAAAGGCCTCAGATGAAACTCATGCTGATGATGGGGTTATTGAGACTGGTAAAACATTCTTTAGTCGAGGGTTCGGTTCGGCCACATGCACAATTATTCCCGCTGAGCGACAATTTGCCTTACATAACAAGCTTCGATCGTTCCACATCTGTCGCTATGCCCTCATCGAATGCAGCGATTGCTGCCAGACATGCAGCCCCTCCCTGTAACCTATGATCATGGCAAGGGAAACAAAGGGGGCACCCTGATTTGCCCCCGTATTTAGGTGGCTTCCCAGTTTGAAGGAAAATTGTAGGTGGGGGTTGGGGCGCTTAGGGGCAGGTAGTCGTGCCCCTTGAGGCAAAGGACCGTGCAAGCTCCCAACGGGGGGGGTTGAAACTTTTTTGAAGGGATTCTTGGGGGCTTCCCTTATTTTCAGTCAAAATATTGGATCACCTAGATCTGCCCGTGTCCGTTAGGTGTCAGAAATTCCGTGGTTGGTCCAGCCAAAGCATACACCCCCCAAAATCACACTTCTTGAGGGAAACCCGGGCCAACCTCCCGACAACACTGAGTATGCCATTTAGTCCATGCGGCTTTCCCTAAACTGGTGTCGTCTTGGGATGGGTTAAGCCGCTTAGCCTTCACACAGCCCGGCCGATTGTTTTGGCTCAAAGGGGGCTGCAGGTCAGTTGGCCCAGGCGGGGGGATGGGATCAATGCAATTGGGGGTTTACATTGTAGGCACCCTTATCTTCTGAGGCACCATATGATCTGGGATGGTCAAGGCGTTTCAAGGCGCTGTTCGGGGATTCAGTGATGTCGACAAACTCTGTCTAGCGCTCGCGTTTGTCACCGGATTGCCAATGGTCTCAGACAGATAGCGCGCTGGCACGCACGAAACGCTGTATACCTACATGTACTATTTCCATTTATACATGTTAACGCAGAGTAACAACGAAGCAAGGTTATGTTTCTACTTGGTGTGTTTGCTATGTGATCATGTATCGGTCTACAATGTCAAGTTCAGTCCGCCGTCACGTGCTGGGGCTATTAGCCTAGTAGGACATACGGATATGTGTGGGCACGGAGCTATGATGCCTTGTCCAAGTTCCCACCGGTGGGTTTCATGATCGCGTATAACACAGATCCATTCGTCCCGGAGTTGACTTGATTGACAAAAACCAGCCCACGGAAGACAAAAGAGGGACAAAGGCCCAGGCCGGGTATCCCAGAAGCCTGTGCGGTTCGGAGATGTTCGGATCCGGATCTTTGCTGAAAGGTGCTCCGCCTGGGAGGCACAGACGAGTGGCTCAGAGCGAGCGAAGGGTGAGTCTCTGTTACGGATTGGTCCGAGCGAAAGCAATCGATCCCAAGCTCGAATCGAACCCCCGGAGATCCCAAGTTCGATTCCGATGCCACGGATTTTTGGTCCTCAGGACTTGGCTGGAGTTCTTTTTTTCCAAAGTTGCGAAGTGAGACCCTTGCGTCTCCGCGCGACAGGTTTCGGGCTGTGTTTTGAGTGACATATGGCAAATAGGCCACGCCCTCTCGGACCAGACTTGACCCTGAGCGGCGACCAACCAAATTCTGATGCTCCCGCCGGCCTGACCAGACTGCAACAGGGATTTTTGAGGCTCCCGAGAATCTTTGGGCTCTCCTTGACCGCAGCCCGACAACAGTCAGCCGGGCACATGTGACAGGATAGTCCAATTTCTGGCACCCTTTTTGGGGTGGTTTGAGAGGCAGGCTCCATTTTGGTTGTCCCCATGTTGAGAGCCAGGCCCCAACCGATTGTCACCCATAAGAACCTTTGATGTTTTGCGTTGAGAGAATCTTTTGTACAGTTCTGTTATTGGCAACCTTGGGGGAGAATGTAGCAAGCGCAGACTGTATTTGTGGCAGGCTTCGGAGGCTATTTGGGTTTCCCATTTCGTTCCTATTGTCAGTCTTGTGGTCCCATAACAAAGGTGATCAGCCTTGCAGACACATTCGCTATGATGAATTTTTGTGTGAACCTTGCGAGCCTGCTACACTTTTTGATTGATTCAGGTTTCACTTAATCACTGAGTTGAGTCGAGGACAAGGGTGAGTTGCTCTAACCCACAGAGAGGTTCCCAGAGCGTCGCTTTAGCCGCTTTGACAGGGAAAAGCAAATCAAAGCAACACATGTGACGGCAGATGCGGCATTCTCATGGCAACCACTCGCGAAGGTGCCCATGTCGATGCCAAGCTGTACACCAAGGCGCAGCTCACAGGGGATCAGAGACCTTCGATTGCGACCTATGACATTTGCGGTTTCGTTGCGTTAATTTGGATGTGACCGTCAACCTTCTCGACCCCGACCCCAAACTCCGCATTTCTCAAGCCCTTGACTTCGGAGGGTTTGTTTTCGATGCGTTTTGTTTGGCTCGGCTTGGCCTTGGGCTTCGATTTGCTCGCATTTCCGCCAGAGGAAGGTCTATGAACTCGGACAAAAAGGCCAAAGGACCTCTTGTGGTTTTGTGGTTTGGTCGCGTGAGTTTCCCTGACCGGTGATTCAAGCGGTACCCTGAGGTCGCCCAGCCCGCCCTTGGACGCGCCGGAGGCACTTTGCAGGTGCGGACCGCTCTCAACTGACTTGCTGGCTGCGCGTTTCAAGACTCCTCAGAATGCCCAACCCCCAGGCAAAACGTGTGGTTTCTGAAACGAAGGATGGGGTGAACAGAGTGGGGCAGCAAACCTGTTGACTTGCTGGCTTCGTGTCCCGTCCAGATCCCATTAGTAAGGCCTTTGTGAGGCGTTATCCCCCCCACCCCCGCCAAAGCAATTGTTGAAGGCTGACGCCTTTGGATGGTGGGTGCTAATTCGCCCGCGATTTGAATTTTCCTAAAAGGAGACCAAAAGGGGATGGTCGATGCCGTTTCTCGAGGCGCTCTATTTCACGCCACAACTCCCCCAAACCAAGAGCCTTTTTTGGGTTTCCCTTAGCACCAAAGGAGGGTTTTCGTTTTTTTCTTTTTGTTTCTTCTTTTTTTTTCTGGCTTCAGAAATCAAACGACGTATTTTCAGAGCCCTGGCATTTGAACCAGTAGGTCAAACTCCGCCTTTTGCTGAGCTTGTTGATTGCCGACTCTTAAGTTTGTTCAAGTCCTCGTGTGCTTGTGGCGGGCTTCGTTGGTTGGCATTGCGATACGTGTACATACATACATACATGCCTGCGTGCATGCATGCTACATACATACATACATACATACATACATACATACATACATACATACATACATACATACATACATACATACATACATACATACATACATACATACATACATACATACATACATACATACATACATACATACATACATACATACATACATACATACATACATACATACATACATACATACATACATACATACATACATACATACATACATACATACATACATACATACATACATACATACATACATACATACATACATACATACATACATACATACATACATACATACATACATACATACATACATACATACATACACGCACATACATACACATAACAATACATACACGCATACCAATACATACACATACATACTCATACGTATACATACGCATGACCCTCATGCTTTTACCACTTGGGGCCGGGCCTTGTCCCACGGTCTCGGTACTGGTTCCGCTGGCGGCCATAATCCTAAAGCTGCTCGATCGCATTGATCGGTCGCCCCCGCCATTGGATCCTGGCTATCTTTGCTCACTCATTCAACCAGATCCTTGCTTGCACTGTCCGTGCCTGGTACTTGGCATTGTGATCAGCATCCTGATTTTCCCTGTGTGTGAGGCCCTACTAGCATAGCCGCAGCCCCGACGAGCGCTGTACCGGTTCGTTTAGTGCATGGGCAGTGATCTTGAGGACCTTCGTCAGGAGGTTCGTGAGCTTCGTGCAGAAGTCTGTGAGTTGCGTCAGTTGGTGAGGGCCTTGCAGCAGCATTCAACTTCTGGCATCGAGTCCTTTTTCGTTGTTGGTGCTGCGAGCTCTTCCGTTGGTGTGGCCTCTCCATACCGCACTTCTGGTTCGGATTCTGGACTCAGTTGTCGTGAGCGGGGTGCAGTTGAAGTGGGCCAATTTTTGAGGCGCTGCTTGGACGGAGAGCGCCGTGGCTCTCTAGGCAGGGCTTCCTTCGCTCCAAGAAGTTTGAGGTGCTCTGGCTGCGGCGTCCCTTGATTGAGGACGCGGCTGACGGTGAGGGCTTTCTAGATCCAATCGATCAGCCCTGCAGATCGGATATCCTTTTGGTGTGATCCCTGCTGACTACGGTGTTCCAGAGCGTGTTGAGGTCATGTTCATTGTGCAGGTGGAGACGAAGGTGCTTGCTGCTGTTCCTTTCTCAGCATGGCATTGTTTGAAGAATCAGAGGATGTTGCCGACAGGGTCTCTGAGCAAAGCTGCTTTGGGCGAGGTGGCGGTAGTGCCCATGTTGGACAGGAGCAAGGCGGAGGAAGAGATTCATATGAGAGTTTGGATCGGATATTTGAGCTCATCCCTCTCTCCACAGGTGTTGTTCGACAAGTCGCTGCGGGGTCGATCGAGTATGCTCCGTTTGCACCGGTGCTAGCGGAAATAGCTCAGGAGAACTTGGGCTATGGACTTGTAATTGCCGATCTTGCTGCGATGTTCTTGCGGCGCCAGGGTGGTCGAGGTCAGGTCCTCTATCGTGTGGCGCTCGATGATGTCCGAGATGTCCTTCGGTGAATCGTGAAGAGCCTGGCGAAGTGCTCGCCTTGCAGCTGCGGACCTCTTCCCAGCGCCGTAGCCAAAAGTTTCGAAGGGACTCGATGACACCCCGTCCAGAGCTGCGTCTAACTTGCTGGCTTCTTTCTTGCGATCTGTCAACGAGCCCACGATGTCCGTCAGCTTCAGCACGGCTTGAGCAATCTGCCCGGAAAAGGAAGAACCTTCGCCCAACCAAGGACCTGCGTCGTCCCCCTCTTCGCACTGATCGAAGTCGGTCTCACTCAGGGGATCACGGCTCAAGCAGGCTCCGCAAGGTGCTTGGCAGTGGGTCCCTTCTGCATCAACTTCTGCAGCTCCACCAATGTTTGCTTCGGAACACCATTGTTCAAAGCCGCCTGCGCCACACCTGCATCCAGCAACGGGACGCACGCCGAAGTTCGAGCTTGCTCAAAGCACTCTTCCGGGGCACAACTGGGAGACTCCGCAATTTGAACCCGTGGACCGAAGCCGTCAAGGCAGCCAGCGATCCCCATTCGGCGTGGGCCGTGGCTGGGGCTTTGGATTCACTTGTTCGTGGGGACATTGCTGCAACGCGGGCACGGCTATGCCTGGGGCTTCTTCAGCTGGATCAATGCACTGGCGCATCTTCAAGACACCGACGAGCTGCAGAGGCCGAAGAAGGACGCCGATGCTTCGACACCAGACCCAAAGAAGAGGCCAAAAGCAAAGGTGAGGGTGAAAGGGTCAGACGGCCAGCAGGCCGACGCATGAGTTACTGCGTTAGTGACGGGGGCCCAGCCAAGGTGCGTGTTCCAGCATCCTCTGCGTCGTCTATCAAGCTGGCTTCTTTTTAGCAAAAAGCTGGGTTTCGCTGTTGTCCATGCGAAGGAGGTTGCTTTGTGTGACGGAGGTCATGTTCGAAGAACTTTCCGTGAAGTCCAAGGATGCAGTGATCCGGCTGTCTTCGGAGCTTCTTTCCGAATAGTGGAGCCTCTGCCTGTTGGGCCCTTTAGCTTGCACTAATCTTCGCGCTGGCTTTGCGGATCGCCTTTACGCCACTGACTCGTCGCTGGACTTTGCTGCCGGAGTAAGTGCCGATGTTTCCCCAAAGTTTGCCGCTGAACTATGCAGGCGTTCGCTGAAGAAAGGATTTTGGAGGAAGCTGCTTCCTGCAGACACGGCTTGGATGCGTAGTCAGGGGGTGCTGGATGCGTCTGAGGAAGTTGAGCTTGGTGGGAGCTTGCTGCCCGAGCCTTTTTCCTTTCACGAACGAAGACTGGCGACGGCCGATTTGGAAGCGGAAGAGTATCAACATTACCAAGATGGAAGCTCATCTGCTGTCTCAACGCCGGGCTGCTTCGAAGTTCAGGCAGAAGCGCGTGCTTTTTGGCATGGACAGTCAAGTTTGTCTGCGTGCCACTGTCAAGGGTCAAGCTTCGGCCACTCTGAACAACGGGCCTTGGGCTCCGATTTATACAGAATCTACATGTTCTTTCCAAGTGAGCGCAACAGGGCTGATGCATCCAGCAGAAATTCGGAGGTTTCTCCTTCTGACTTGGCATGGCCACCTTGGATTGACGAGGTCTGCGAGGTGAATTTGCAGCCTTCGATGCTTGGATTGCTTCAGCTGAACGAGGCGTTGTTGTCCAGGTCTAGCGCTGTTGACATGCGTCCTTCCCCGGCGCTTGCGAGATGAGAGTTGGGCGAGAGCCCGTGTGATAAAGTGTGGAGTTGCTGGTGTCAGAGATGGCTTTGTGAGTCGTGCAGATGCTGCCCCGGTGAAGTCGAAGTTTTTTTGTGAGGAGGCTATTTCCATTCTGCGAACCTTTGATGATGCGCAGTTTGTGTTTCCAAAAGGTAGTAGTTCTGTGCTGGCGCACTTGATCTCTTCAGTGGACGATATGGCTACGCAAGGCAGTGTGTCAAGCACCGTGCGCCTTGGGTGCTGACCTTCAAGATAAAGAGAAGCCAGTCTGAGAATCTACTTCTGCCTGAGGTTAGGAGCAAGCTGAGGCATTCCGTGTTCGTGGCGCTGCCCTAACTTGCTCTTCCTTCTCCACGGCGGTGACCCCTGCAGCGAGGAGCAAAAAGTTTCCTCGTGGGCTTCCCACGCTGAAGGGAAGGATGAGAGACAGTGTGAGACAGTAACAGCCATGCAGACTTTTTGGCCACCTTAGTCGAGTTGATCAAGCACGAATTGGCTGGCTTTGTTTCTACTGTTGAAAATCCGGAACGCAGCTGGTTGTGGAGGCAGAAGGCATTCTCGAAGTTTTCTGACCCTGCTTCACAATGGGCATGTCGTGTGTCTTTTTGCAAGTTCGGTACTCGCTGGCAAGGTTTGGTACCTCTTTGCCGACGTTGCGTGGTTTGCGGCTAATGTGCAATTGCGGTTGCGCGACCTCACCAAGTGCTTTGAGGACGTTCGAAGTATCATGGGAAGTGCTGGACAGCTGTTGCTGAGCCGTATCCTATGTGTGTGAGCTCCTTGCTAAGGTTAGTTGCTTCGACTGCGAATGGCTTGGTGCTAAGCTGGACATAGCAGGCTGCTGAAGTCTGCTTCCATCCACGTGCCAAGAGGGGCTTCCAAGCTGCTGGATTGGAAGATGTTCAACTCAAGACCCCTGCCACTGAGTTGCTGGAAGCTCGCTGTTTGACCTATGGGCATATGTGCTTCAAAGCTTGTTTTTCTGTTAGAAACTACCGTCACTTGGTGATTGCTGCGCAGAATTGGAAGCCGGCCAGGATTATCATTGCCCCTTGCTGGCAGCGTGCAGCGAAATGGGAGCTCAGTGAAAAGGTCGAGCATAGGCCACCTGCGTTGTCAGAGCGATGGTTGTGTTGGCTTGGCAGCTCCAATGGTATTCTTGGTGTGGCG